AGGCACAGCCAAGGTGTTGAGGGGATCCGTTTTGGTGGCCTTAGGATTGCGTCTCTGCTTTTTGCAGATGATGTGGTCTTATTGGCTTCATCGGATCGTGATCTACAGCTTTCGCTGGAGCGGTTCGCAGCCGAATGCGATGCGGCCGGGATGAAGATCAGTTCCTCCAAATCCGAGGCCATGGTCTTGAGCCGGAAAAGGGTAGAGTGCCCTCTCTGGGTCAGGGAGGAGGTCCTACCCCAAGTGGAGGAGTTCAAGTATCTTGGGGTCTTGTTCACAAATGAGGGAAAAATGGAGCGTGAGATCGATAGGCGGATAGGTGCAGCGTCTGCAGTGAAGCGGGCGCTGTACAGGTCTGTCATGGTGAAGAGAGAGCTGAGTCAAAAGGCGAAGCTCTCAATTTACCGATCGATCTACGTTCCCACCCTCATCTATGGTCACGAGCTTTGGGTTGTGACCGAAAGAATGAGATCTCGGATACAAGCGGCCGAAATGAGTTTTCTCCGCAGGGTGTCTGGGCTCTCCCTTAGAGACAGGGTGAGAAGCTCGATCATCCGGGAGGGACTCGGAGTAGAGCCGCTGCTTCTCCATGTCGAGAGGAGCCAGTTGAGGTGGCTTGGGCATCTGTTTAGGATGCCTTCTGGACGCCTCCCTGGTGAGGTGTTCCGGACACGTCCCACCGGAAGGAGGCCCAGAGGAAGACCCAGGACACGCTGGAGGGACTATGTTTCTCGGCTGGCCTGGGAACGCCTCGGGATTCCCCCGGAAGAGCTGGCCCAAGTGGCTGGGGAGAGGGAAGTCTGGGCCTCCCTACTTAGGCTGCTACCCCCGCGACCCGACCCCGGATAAGCGGAAGAAAATGGATGGATGGATGGATGGATGGATGGATGGGAAGATTGATGATCACACACAGCAAATTGGTTAAATGTACTTAACCCAAAATAATTCCTAAAGTAGAAAAATCCATCACGCTTTGAAAAAGTTACAAGGGAGACATTGGTCATACACTTGTGCTGTACGTCAACACAGCCGAGTCCTGCTGAAAGCATCATTTGATTCTGAAATGCATGCTTCATTTGTAGAAGCTGGCATCTATGCGGGACGTGCTGGCTCCAGAGGTGTTGCAAAAGGTATGCAGTGGTGTTTAAAGTTTGTGAATTCTTTAGAATTTTCTATATTTCTGCATAAATGACCTAAAACATCAGATTTTCACACAAGTCCTAAAAGTAGATAAAGATAACCCAGCTAAACAAATTAGATAAAATATTATACTTGGTCATTTATTTACTGAGGAACATGATCCAATATTACATATTTGTGATGGTAAAATTATGTGAACCTCTAGGATTATCAGTTAATTTTGAAGTTGAAATTAGAGTCAGGTGTTTTCAATCAATAATGATGATCAGGTGTGAGTTTCACCCTGTTTGATTAAAAAAAACAGGGATCTATCAAAGTCTGCTTTTCACAACATGTTTGTGGATGTGTATCATGTTAGGAACAAAGGAGATTTCAGAGGAGCTCAGAAAAAGAGTTGTTGATGCTCATCAGGCTGGAAAAGTTTACAAAACCATCTCTAGAGAGTTTGGACTAAACCAATCCACAGTCAGCCTGATTGTGTACAAATGGAGGACATTCAAGACCATTGTTACCCTCCCCAGGAGCGGTGGACCAACAAAGACCACTCCAAGAACAAAGCGTGGTCGGTGAGGTCACAAAGGACCCCAGTGTAACTTCTAACAACTGAAGGCCTCTCTCACATTAATGTTAAAGTTCATGAGTCCACCATCAGAACACGGAACAACAATGGTGTGCATGGCAGGGTAGAAGGAGAAAGACACTGCTCTCCAAAAAGAACATTGATGCTAGTCTGCAGTTTGCTAAATATCACGTGGACAAACCAGAAGACTGATGGAAGAATGTTTTGTGGACAGACGAGACCAAAATAGAACTTTTTGGTTCAAATGAAAAGTGTTATGTTTGGAGAAAGGAAACTTTATCCCATCTGTGAAACATGGTGGTGGTAGTATCATGGTTTGGGCTTGTTTTGCTGCATCTGGACCAGGACGGATTGCTATCATTGATGGAACAATGAATTCTGAATTATATCAGAGAATTCTAAAGGACAATGTCAGAACGTCTGTCCATGAACAAGAGAAGGTGGGTCCTGCAGCAAGACAATGACACAAAGCACACAAGTGGTTCTACCAAAGAATGGCTCAAGGAAAATAAAGATCATGTTTTGGAATGGCCAAGTCAAAGTCCTGACCTTAATCCAATCCAGATGTTGTGGAAGGACCTGAAACGGCAGTTAATGTAATGGAACCCACCAACATCCAGAGATGAAGCTGTTCTGTACTGAGGAATGGACTCAAAGTCCTACAAGCTGGTGTGCAGGATTGATCAACAGTTAAGAATCATAATCTGAATCAGAATAAGCTTTATTTTCATTGCACCGAGATACAACAAGAATATGTCCGTACAGTCGTCCGAAAGATGGGCGGAGTGCACGTAGCTGCTGCTATATAGCGCAGCCTTCTTATCCTTTTCAGAATACATTTTTTAGATAGAAAAAGGGACAAAGCCATGAGGAGAGGATAGTGGCATTACAAAAAAAGATCTCTTCACACCTTGTCCTAACAGGACACGCTTTAAGACATCAAAAAACTGAGTATACTGGAGGCTTGAGTCAAACAACCTCAGGGTAGAAGCTCTTCCTCAGTCTAGTGGTTCTACACTTAATGCTCCTTAACGTCCTTCCTGAGGGGAGCGGGGCAAACACACCTAGCACCCCACACCCCCCCAAAACCAACATAGGAGGATCTGTGGTGGAAGTGGTCTCCAGCTACAAATACTTGGGTGTGAACCTGAATGACAACCTCAGCTGGAGCAACAACACCACCAGCCTGATGAAGAAAGCTCATCAGAGACTCTACTTCCTCAGACGGCTGAGGCGAGCTGGTCTGGGAAGCTCAGTCCTCACCTCCTTCTACAGGTGTGCAGTGGAGAGCATCCTGTGCTCCAGCATCAACGTGTGGCATGGAGGCTGCACAGCTGCAGAAAGAAAAGCTTTGCAGAGAGTGGTGAAGGCTGCACAGAAGATGTTGGAGTCAGTCTCCCCACCATCACAGACATCTACACCTCCAGATGCAGGAAGAGGGCCACCTGCATCATGAAGGACCCCACTCACCCAGCACACACACTTTTTGCCCCACTCCCCTCAGAAAGGAGGTTAAGGAGAATTAAGTGTAGAACCACTAGACTGAGGAACAGCTTCTACCCTGAGGTTGTTTGACTCAAGCCTCCAGTATACTCGGGCGTATGTCAGTCCGCAGAGGTTCGCGCGTACCGGATTAAATTTGAAGCTGATGCCTGCAGGGCATGTGCGTGCAAAGCTCAATTTTTACGTCCGCGTACTCGGTATTGCACAATAAAATGTCTGGCGACGGACTGTTTTGTATGAAACACCATTGCATTAAATTTCCCTTCTTCATCTCTGATATGGTTTAATGGCCTTTTCTTTTGTTTTTTCGCCAAAAGGCAAGCGATCTATTCCTCCTCCTCCGTTGACTCCATGACTGAAATTGTGAGAAATGAAGGAATTTGTCAAGAGAAAATTAAAATCAGGTCTTGCGTGGTTGTGTGTGTGTGTGTGTGTGTGTTTGTGTGGGGGTCTGGAAATTTCCTGGTGGGCTGGTCTGATGTGGGGGCTGCAAGGCCAGCGCTACCTGTTTTTTTTTTTTTTAGAACTTTTTATTAACAACATACTGTATAAACACAGAACACCACTGAGGCTGGGGCTGCCAGCTCTCGGTTATTTATTTATTTTTTGGCGACCTGTCAATCAATCCAGTAGAAGTGTCAGCAAAAGACCAATCGGTGACCTCAATTTGTTCCAAAGGTAAACGCCCCTTGCCTGCAGAGCTGGTCTGCAGCCGCTCAGGGTGGATGCTCGAGTATGAAGTCTGAACCATCTGCGGACAGTGTGCGTCGAGTCCACGTGGATAAAGGCTAGAGTGAGTATACTGGAGCCTTCATGAATATCTAACCAGGATAATCATCGTGAAAAAAATCACATCATGTTGCTGCTGATCTGTTTCATGTTGCTGCCGATCTGTTTCATGTTGCTGCTGATCTGTTTCATGTTGCTGTGTTCATTCCTGCTCATCTGCTCACACAGACTCATGTTCGTGCTGCTGTTCGGCGTATTGTTTTTATGCTATTAGTGCTTAGCGTATTTTTAGTTGATGTTTTTCTTGGTTCATATCTTGGATCTTATGACTGTTGTTCTTTTACATTTTCTTGTTGTCTGTAACTGGGACCCTGTGTACACAATCTCTTCCACCAGATGTAACACATGTGGTGCGAATGACAAATAAAGAAACTCTGACTTTCTGATATTTATCCAGAAATACAGACAATAATAAAGAGTTCACAAACTTTCAAGCTCCATTGTAATATGAACATAAATTAGTAAGTGTACAATAAGATCCACAGATCTTAAAAATGCATTTTTCAAATGTACAAATGGCACAAGTAGGAAAAGTATTGAATGCAGCATTACCTTTATACTGTATATGTGGAGCGGTAAGAATGTCTCAAAATTCACATTCACAGATAACCTGATCCGTGCACCTGTGTTGACTGATTCATCTGCAGCAGGTGATTTGTGCACATGCACATTACAATTAATATGTGCAGAATATTCCTACTTGTGCAATTTGAATTATGTACATTTGAAAAGCTGCTTATGCATTTGTGAATCTCGTAATTAGATTGTGGATCTTATTGTACAGAAACAAATCTCGTATGCTCGTGTGACTACTTTTGAGACTATCTTCATAACCTAAGGTAGCATTAAGACAGGCAGCCATTTCACAGAAATGTTTTGTTAAACTGCCTACAGACATGCAAAAAGATTAAACTTACCGAAACTTTCTGGATTATCTGCACCTGAGAGAAGCTGTTAATGATAACATTCATAAGGAGAGAAAGTGCACCTGGTGATGTGAAGGTAGTGGTTGTGTCCATCATGATCCAAGCCTGTGGTGGCCTGCAGATTATCAGCCAAGCCTTGCAGGCCGAGTCCGTCTGAGCTGTGCTCCACCAGCTGCTCCAGCTCCGACAGCATGGACTTCAGAGTGGGCTCTCCTTTGATCATACAGCGCAGAGCCTCGGGGAAGATGATCTGCCTGAAGTTGGAGTTCAGTTCCTTAAATAGAAAAAACGGTTTAGGTGTGTCAGACTCTAGCTAAAGATGTGTAGGGGTAAAGGTGTTCTCAGGGGTGGACAGGACATTTTCCAGGTTGTCCAGCGGAAAGTCTTTTGACAGAATATGGTTGTCTATAAAGACTTTTGGTTGTCTGCAACCTTTACAATAAAAAAGGCCAAAAATCTCAAGAAACATGTAATTGAATAAGTATATTGCATTATGTACAAAGTTTATTATGCACAAATTAGGGGTGCAGAAAAAAAAACATTTTTTTAAAGAATCTATATTATTAGTTCTGGCAATTCTGAACTGATTCTAAAGGCCCATGAATCGATTTTAAAATGCGTTAAAGTTTTATATTTTATTACACTCTTACACCCGAGCGTACTGCATATTGCATTATGTGTCCGCTCGGCTGCTGTAGAATTGAGCCGTGTAGGCCACCGTACAGCAGCTAGTTATCCAGCTCCCTTTATCTGAATGGAGCCTGTTAGCATGGAGGAGGGAGACAGCACGATTCATCCTGCTGCTTCGTCTTTAAAAATCATTTCAGATCCTACAATGTTCCGGTGGAAGACAGAGCTTAACAAGAGCACGGTTGTTTACAAGAAGTGTAAAATAAAATTGTACAGTATTTTAGAAATACAACAAATTGCACGGAAGATGAAAGCGAAGCAGCCGACCAGTGAACTCTGCAACAAACTTCCAGTCTTCTCCAAAGGCTGTGAAGAGTTCCCTCCATCTCCTGCTGTATCACAAAGATTTATGAGCACACAGCTCAGTGGAAGGTGAGGGGTTTAATTTTATTATTAATATGCTGGAAGCAACATACGTTACTCCTTCACGTAGTTAAAGCTCCACACAGCTTCACCATGAAACAAAAAATAACGTGGGAGAAGCTCTGATGCAGCTGCAGCTCAAAGGGAACTATTTTTTCTCATATTATACTAAAACGTATATAGAGAAGTTATACAACAAACTTAAAAATATAGCAAATGTTAGAGCAATTTAGATAAAAATAACTGTGAAGTCTGTATTTTATTATGAATTAAAGCTTAATGCACTATGGTACGCTGAAGTCTGTTTACTTTTGTATTTTTATACTGTATTTTGAATCATTTGTCTCTGACGGACTGGAGACCTGTCCAGGTGTCCCCCGCCTCTCGCACTCTTGCTGGACATGGGCACCAGTGACCCCCGTGACTCGAAAAGGAAGAAGTAAGTAAAGCTAATGGATGGATTAATTATTTATTCTTAGATTTTTATTTTTTAAATCCACGCAGCTAAGCTAACCTAATACTGGTAGTTTAAGTTACAGAATGTTATGCTCATCTATAGTTGTTCCTATTTTTGGTATAAATATAAAACGATGCAAAAAAGATTTGATACAGTAAAGAACCTAAAATTATTGTATTAAATAAATGTTCTATTTGTTTACATTGCTGTTTAATATTTTCAGCTTGTCAGTTACATAACTGAAACAAAATTTATGACCATTTCAATAGAAAAATTGTTTCTGAATCAAAAAATAGATTTTGAGTCAAATCGTGACAACAAAAATCGGAATCGAATCGAATTGTCAGATACTGAGAGATTCACACCCCTAGTTTTTTTTTCTTCATTCATTCAACCTTTATTTAAACAGATAAATCACATTGAGCCTCAAAGACTCATTTACAAGTGAGACCTGTTTGGACAGACAAAAACAGTGGTTAACTGGACACATGTAGGAGTTGGAGGCAAAAAAAATTCCTATCAGACTTTTTTTTCTTGCCTGAGAAAAAAGAAACCTCTGATATTAAAAAAACACCTCACACAAACAAGCACATAGTAACGTAGACATTCTGCAATCGGAGACAAAAGCGGTCAACAACGCTTATAGATGCTCTCGAGGTCACTGTAATCAGTCAATGTCCTCTGGTGAGATCCATAAACATTCTCGAGGTATGTCGAGAAATGGCCAAGAATAATATCTATGAGAATCCAAGAGTCCTGAAATGATGACACATAGTTTTTTCAGCTGGGTTTCATCTGGTTATCAGTTGGAAATTCCTCAGGGAGGGGGTGGTGAGCGTCAGATCACATGTTCTCCTGGCGGATTCAGATAAGATGGTCTTCAAGGACAACCAAGGCGACCAAATTTAGATAAACACACAGTTGTTTTGGGGACAGGCAGAACTTAATGACATCTACCTTGAGTCTGTGTTGGTCCACTCAGTTCTAAAATGTCCAAAATAACATGGCCACACCGATGGAATGTGACTGAGTAAAATCCACAAGATCTGATCCATTCAGCCCAAAGCATTTGAGTCCGGGTACACGAGACACGAACCAAGCCATCAAAAAGGCAAGCAGCGTGGTCGGGTCCAAATTTGCTGCTGACGACTTCCTTGATTGTAGATAAAACCAGCACCAGCCAAATCCAAAAAGCAGGAACCAGTTATGGAAAATCCAATTAAATATGCGTCCTTAAAATCCACAGATGGCAGCAGAGATAGACACATCATCACATTTGTATTTTGCTTTGTGTGTTACCTGTTGTTTTGTCTGTACAGCACTTTGGTTGGCCTTGTTGCTGTTTTAAGTGCATTATAAATAAAGTGGTATGGTATGGTAAGTCTTCCAGTCAATGAGATATCCAGCTGCGTACGTGCCAACAGGGTAAATCGGCTCGCCTAAAGCCTGTCTTCTCTTTGAAGAAATGTTGTAAATTGAGATGAGGGACCAACTGATCAAAACAAGTCCATAATTATGGTTTGGAAGAAATGCAAGAGAGTCTCACAGCAATTTCACAGACAGACAGAGCAGCAAAGCAAAGCGGAGAGGGAGGGAAGCATCCGATCTCGTGGGGAGCAAGTGGTGAAGTACAAATGTTCTCAAGCGGCCATCTTGTGGACTGCTTGGACCGTCCCAGCTCCTGAATGGCAGACTCTTTCAGGATCTACTTGAGTGGAACTTCCTCGTTCTCCTCATCCTCTTCCTCCTCAGAGACAACAACGTTCACTGTGGAGAATCCCACAGCGGCCCTCGACTGTGTCACACAAGCACATTTATCTTTTGTCAAAAAGAAAAAAAATCACAAACTGCTGCATTCAGGCTATGAGCCAGGGGCCATTACAAATGTGAAAAAAAGAAAAGACAAAAAAGTACAAACTCGCTTGGGGATTTGATCTTTTCTTTTTTGAAAGGTGTGACACCTCTCCCCGAAATGGCCACAAACCTAAGTCCAAGTGCATGTAAATGGTAAATGGACTGTACTTATACAGCACCTTTCTATCTTATTTCAAGATACTCAAAGCTCTTTACACTACAATCTGTGCCTCATTTACCCATTCATACAGCTCTATACTAGATCTCTACAAAGATAATTGAACAAATTATTCTAAAGTGACTAATCAGTGCTTTATCACATTCATACACTGATGGGACACACATCAGAGGCTATGAGGGGTTCAGTGTCTTGCTCAGGGACACTTCAGCATGTGACTGCTGGTGGATTCGAACCCCAAACTCTCGCATTGGAGGACGACTGCTCTAACCACTCAGCCACAGCCGCCCATGTGCACTGGGAGCAGATATACTTCCCGACCAAGCATCACTAGGGAAGTCTCTGATCATGTTTGACAAACTGGCCGGCCAGACGTCTGACAGTGAAGAAGGCAGAATGCACAAACTCTGAGTGGGTTTTGAAAAACTACTTCCTAAGAAGACTAATGAAGTTTGGTATTAACACCAGCATCCTCACTAACTTTTACACGTGCACCATTGACAGCATGGTGACAGGCTGCATCACAGGGTGGTACGGGAACTGCACCAGTCAGAAAGAACTAGAGAGTGTGGTGCAAACAGCAGAGGACATAACTGGTAGCAGTCTCCACACCATCCACATCTACCACAACCAATGTCTGCGTAAAGCACGCAGCAACATTAAGGACCACACCCACCCAGCACAAGGACTCTTCCGTCTACTACCCTCAGGCAGACGATACAGGAGTCTGCCATCGCGCACAAAAAGACTAAAGGGCAGCTATTATCCACAAGCTGTCAGATTACTGAACTACTGATAAATAACACTGAAAAACTGACAATAACTTTGCACCAAGCCACATCTGTGACAACTAATATGAATAATATTAGCTTGTGACAGCTAATATGTTTATTGCTGCTGCACTAGTATGATACAGTATCTGTATCTACCTTACCATCATAATTCATTCTCAGTGTCAGTACCTGTGCAACAACCTGTCACACAACCTATGTAGTTTTTTAGTTATGTGTAATGTATATAATGTGCTTTTTAGTAGGGCTGGGCCATATCATATCATTCACGATAATACCGGTAAAAAAAGCTTGCTCGGGCAAAAAAATTATGATATGATACGCTAATTTCATGACGTAATACATCAGGGCGCCCCACCCCTTTAACAGAACCGAGCACGCCAAACGACCGAACTGAATTGCGCACCCCCCCTCCACCTGTCGGTACTGGTGTAACGCTAATTAGTTGTGTGCAATACAAGCTAGCTAAAAAGCTAAAAACAAACAAAGCGCGGCTCAGCTGTCTCTCCATCCAGCTCTAAACTGCAGGTACAGACAACTCAACTGTCTCTCCCTCCACCTGCTCTAAGGTTGTTTTCACACCAGATGGTCCAGTAGACTCGGTTTGGTTGGGGACCAATATTCATGACCTTTTGTTACATTTGAGCTGGTGCGTTTGCATTCACACTGCACTGTGCAGTCGAGCCAACCTGTTCCCCCGCTCGCCTGTGGGGGCGCTGCACCAAGAACTAGTGAAAGAAACGACACAAAAACCTCTGAAGACACGTCTTCTTGTTCTTCTGGAAATAAAAACAAAAACGGAGTGGCATCAAGTTTTAGCAGTTTTAGGAGTTATATTTTGTCATTTTTCAAAAATTGACTCAGCATGAGCAGAAGATGAGACAGAAGACCATGGAGAATATTGTTTTTCCACACAAGGCAGCTGACGGCTCCATATGAGGTCAGAGAAATGTGTGTTTGTTTGTCCTGCGCTGTACCTCACTTCCTGCTTGTGGAGCGGGGTCCAGTCTGTTTACATTCACACTGTACTGGAACCGCGCTGGAGTTCTCTTGTACCGGACCGAGACCTAGGTTTTAGCCCGGGCCAGAGTTCGCTTTTTTGTTCTGTGACACAGAGTTCGATGGCGCGTTCACACCTCCCCAAACAAACCGGACTTCCTAGGAAAACGAGCTAGAGTTCAATTAAAGCGGACTAAACAGGGCTGGTGTGAATGCACCCTAACTGCCACTCGTCTTTTCTCTCTCTCTCTCTCCGCACCCCGCTCTGAGCTGCCGGTGCAGGCTGCGTCTCCCCCGCTCTAAACTGCCGGTACAAACACGTGCAGGTCTGTCTCTTAGTTCCACAGTCCATGGAGCAAGACCAGAGTCAGGTGATCAGAGACGGAGCATCAGAGAAACGAATCATTCCTGCAGGAACAAATGAAACACCACAAGCTTCAGGGTCAGATGATCACCTTGTTACAAGTTCAGGAAGTTTTGGCTCATTTAAAGGAAACATATATTTTGTTACATTTATGCTCAACAATCTTAAGCTTAATTTATTTAGTTATTTTGGGAAACTTCACCTGCATTTTAGTTTTTGTGGTGGATTTTTTGATCTATATTTTGTGCAGACGTTTTCATCTAAATAACAGAAGGATTATTTTTATTTTTATACTTGGAGACTGAATACTTTACTAAATAAAGTCATTTCAGTAAAATTACCCCTTGTTCTTTTAAATTTTATATAATACTGCAAAACAACATGTTAAGTTAATTTTGTCAAATAACTATGATTTCTGTTTTTTTTTGTTCTATCACAAAATGTATCGTTATCGTCAGAATGCTCTGAAATATCACGATATTATATTTGAGCCATATCGCCCACTCCTACTTTTTAGCTTATATTACTACCTTGAAATATTTCTTCATTCAAATTCATCCTGCTTGCACTGTTAAAATTCTACTGTTGTTTACTATTTTCTCATTAGGGCCTTGTAAACATTATATATATGTTTTTATACTTTTTGGTACTCTACTTTGTATCCTTATTGCATGCGTTAGTATTTCTTGTTTGTTGTTTGTTTTATAGTGAGTCATCCTGAACATTTCATTGTACTGTTAACCTTGTGTTAAGCTGCATATGACCAATAAACACAACTTGAGCATGAACTACAGTAAGGGGACACAGACTACGATTTGCACCCCGGCCCCATCCCCCCAGTGAGAGTGCCTCACTATTAGAAAAAAAAGCAACAAATTTAGGGATTTTCCCCCATGTTGTTTCCTCGTGCTGAAGAAAGGCGACTGCGAAATGCGGGCGATAAACCTCTGGGCTCTGAACAAGCATCTGAGAAAATACAGATTCAAAGATGCTGACTCACACCTTTCTGCTGCACTTCCTGCATTACAGCGATTGGTTTACATCAATCCACCTCAAGGATCCTTATTTTCACATCCTCATATATCCCTCACACAGAAAATACTCCAGGTTTACTTTTCAGGGAAAAGGTTATGAATACCTTGTACTCCCTTTAGGACTCTTGCTAAGCCGGAGTGTGTGTGTGAAATACACAGAGGTGGCTGTGGGTCCACTCAGGAGGCAGGGCATCTGAGTGGCAACTGGTTTATCACAGCATCCTCACATCCAGAAGCTGCAGGCCGGACAGCTGTATTAACACAGCACATAATGAATCTGGGCTTCAAAATAAACACAGGAAATGGTATTCTGCTTCCTTCTCAGAACATCTCTTTCATAGAAAGGAAAAGCTTTGTAAGCTCAATTATCCAGGTAGATAACAAAAAATCTACAATCATGTCATCTGGACCAGTTTCTTTAAGTGGGAAATGTTTCGTCCCCCATCCAGAGGACTTAATCAGTCTGTGGCCTGCCAACCAGATCTGTCCCATAGGTAGCCTTCATGGGACAGATCATGACAACAAAAATCGATTCAAATCTGTTTTTTTTCCTCTCTGTACTCCGGAGAAGACAGACATGTTTTCCCAGCACTCCGTACACCCCCCCCCCCCCCCTCGCACTTTTTCGTCCTGTGAACCCTTAAAGAGCCTCTTTTTTTCCTGTATACCTTCCTAATTCGAAGGATCAGTTGGTCTCTCAACAAAATTGATCAACTTCTCCCGACAGGAGTCAGGGTAAGGAGGACCCTCTTACCTCGACGGAAACAAATTGGATTCGTGATGACGACTGTTTTTTTGTTGTTTGGCTGGTGAAATCTGGTTGTCTACAAATTCATGTGGATGCGTCGAAGCTTGGCAGCACTCAGACTGAATTATGTGCAGTTGTGTCAGAGCTGGTGCAGCTGTTATCAGGACTGTGGACTCTATAGCAGCACATATGAAGGTGGGAATAATCTGGAGAAGCTGTGAGCTCGACTTTTGGAGTAAAGGATCAATTCGGCTATTTTGGAGTTCCATCAGAGAATATGTACCAGCGAGACTTTAAAGGCAGAAACAACAATTACAAGTTCTGCCTGACCCAAAGTGTGGCCTTGATGCCGGACTTATCTCAACTCCTCCTGGAATGTTTGGAAAACAACAAAGATGCTTTGACTGTTTCCTCACCCCTCCCTTCCCCAAGGCCGTGGACATGTAACAGAACCTCACCTGAGCTGAAGATGAACGTCACCTCTTATCTGGACAATGGCTGAGGGGGGGCTCTGGACTATGCTACGACTTTCCCTTAAAAAAATCAATGTTTTCACCACCTATATGTTCATGTATAACGTCTGTTTATGTTGCTTTGCTGTGGTAGTTTTTTTTTATGCCTCAAATCGTGCACCGTCTAGGACACGGAGTGAGAGATCTTTTTTTTTATACCGTCTCTCCTCATGTTTTCTTTCCTTTTCTTATCTAAGCAAAATATTATTCTGAAGAAGAATAAGAGGGCCACGCTTTCATAGAAGCAGCTTCGTGCACTCCGCCCATCTTTCAGACAACTGTACGTACATGTTCTCATTGTATTTCGGTGCAATGATAATAAAGTTTATTCTGATTCTGAAATATTTCAACACTTCAGTGGTCAAAATGGCAGAACTTAAGCATTTCCAGTTCAAACAATGTGGGGCGAGGCAGTGTAGTGCTCTGGTTTACCTCTGGTGGTGCTGTGTCATATACAATGTATGAAGTAGGTGGTTGGTGCATGCCCATTGCTGTCTCTCTTTATATCACCAATATACGTGTTTGATTACACACGTGCTGCACATGCTGATGGTCTACAGACTAATATATTGAATGAATGCGTGTGACATATTTCTTCTTTCTAATCGATCATAATGGACGCTGAAAATTCACAGAGGTGAGGCAGAATATACCTTGCCGCACCGATAGGGGCAGTGCTGCCTCATAGTTTCAGTGAAGCAGGTACAGTCGCTGAGCGTTCTTCTGTTACACAGAGGGGCAGCAGGGGTGAAGCAAACCGTACACTCATTTAAATTTGTTTAGACAAAATGGAAGATCTCAAAACTAAAGGATTTTTCTAAACTAGATTTTCAGTCGAAACAGAAGGTATTAGAACCTGATCGACACGGGAAAAGATTTTTCCATCCATCCATTATCTTTACCCGCTTCTTCCATTTTGGGTCATGGGCGGTGCCCGTGTCCAGCAATCACTGTGTGAGGGGCGAGGTACACCCTGGATGGGTCGCAAGTCCATTACAGGGCCACATAGAGACAAACAAACATTCATTCTGTCACTCACACTTAGGCACAATTTAGAGTCACCAATCAGCCTAACATGCATGTGTGTGGGAGGAAACCGAAGTACCCGGAGAAAACCCACGCAAACACGAGAAGAACATGCAAACTTCACACAGAAAGACCCCAGGTCAAACCAGGGACTGAACACAGGACCTTCTTGCCGTGAGGCAACAGTGCTAACCACTGAGCCATCGTGCTGCCAGGAAATCCCCCGCTGTTCTTCTCCAGTGTCACTTCTACCCACTTGAATATCTTCCACCAAAAACATTTAGGTTTACAGTACTTCATTCCTTGTTAATTTCCAGTCCAGAAAAAACAATCATCTCCAAAATGTCTAACAATTGCTTTTGTTTCCAGATCCATGACAGAGGCAGGTCTTTTTTGTTACACCCCTACAGGATAAAATAGTAACAAGATGACCAGCTGATTTGAGTACCTACCTGTAGGCAGGTGTAAACACAATTGGCTAGATAGACAGCCTGGATGGTAAGTGATGGTGCAGGCAGCTCCAAGTCATGAGGAAGAGGGCATCGCTGAAACAGGGTGACCAGAGCACTGACATTTCCGAGCATACTGCAGAGCTCCTCCAAAAACCAGGCCCCGTCCCTGGAGGTCAAGTCGATGAGTTGCTCTCCAGCACTAGCTGCTGCCCCCTCCATCACCAGGTTACGTCTGGGAAGGGGAAAAACAAGACCAGAGAGAAAAACTGGATCTTTTACTGCTTTTCCTGTTTCAGTCTGCACCTGACAAAATGATCCACATTTCATTTCAAGATCAATTTAAAACATTTGTTAAGATTCAGAAATATTCAAAATCTATAAACTTGAGCTTATAATGAAGGAATCACCCACCACTGAAGGTCATTTTAAGATAGAGACGACAGCTGTTACTGTTTGGTTCAACATGGAAGATAACATGATGCACAATCTCATGTAATAACTGGCATGATCTGTTTGTCATCTGAGAATTAGTTGTGAATGATTTAGCTGCAACTACACATTTTATCTGTAAACTCCACTGCCATAATTGACATATCTCCCAAATTTCACTGAAATCCAACCTGTGGTTTCTTAAATATTTTGCTAACAAACGAGATAGATTTCAACAGGAAATGTCTATGTTTTCAGCAAAAATGTCACAAAATATGTTGTGATGTAAGTATGTTTTGAGGAGAATGCTCAGCTACAACTAACTCAAATTTGAGCTCAATAACTTTAAAGTTGACTAAATGAAACCATTTTTGTGTTGGACGAAGTCAGAACGTGACAGTCATCTTGAATTGGGTGTTCATGTTGTGACATGAGTGGCAGCACACAGCTACTGAAACAGATGTGCAGCTCTTGTTGTACTAAAGAATCAACCACCAGAGGGTGTTTTATAGACTTTATTTTACTGTTCAACACACACAGACAGAGTGAACCCCACAGGTCTTCATGACAACTACCTCCTTCACTCATGGTTACTCTACCGAATGACCTAAAACAAACTAACTCATAATGAACACATAAACTAGGCTAAGAAGAACAGACTAATCACTAAAAGAACAATGCTAAACAGATAACCGAAATGATTAACAATGAACATAAATTTATCCATAATTATTTTTTCCTTCTTTCCCTCCCGCTCCTTTCCCTGCTTCTGTTCTTTGTCCTGTGAACCTTTTTAGAGCCGCTCTTTACATATCTCCTGAATGGTAAATTATGGATCTGATCAGCTGGTCTCTCAACCCAATTGATCAATTTTTTTGGACGAAAAGACAGGGTGAAGGAAAGCCCTCCTGCCCTGATGGGGCACTTGCAGCCGGATACACGATGGATTCCTGGGGGCAGTGGAAGGTCGTGTGTCTGTCCATATTGCTGGTCGAGGATGTAGAAGACGCAGGGTCTTCCCTGAAAGAGATGACGTCTAGATAGGAGCATATGTTGTTCTAGAACCTGAACATAGTTCTCTGCATTAATGGTGCCTTTCCAGACATGCAAGCTGCCCATGCCACAAGCGCTCATGCAACCCCATACCATCAGTGATGCAGGCTTCTGAACGGAGCATTGATAACAACTTGGGCTATCCTTGTCCTCTCTGGTCCGGATGACATGGCATCCCAGTGTTCCATAAAGAACTTCAAATCGTGACTCATCTGACCACAGAACAGTCTTCCATTTTGCCACACTCCATTTTAAATGACCCCTGGCCCAGTGCAAACGTCTGAGCTTGTGGAGCTTGCTTAGAAATGGCTTCCTCTTTGCACTGTAGAGTTTCAGCTGGCAACGGCGGATGGCATGGTGGATTGTGTTCAATGACAATGCTTTCTGGAAGTATTCCTGAGCCCATTCTGTTATTTCCTTGACAGTGGCATTCCTGTTTGAGGTGCAGTGACGTTTAAGGGCCCAGAGATCACGAGCATCCAGTAGAGTTTTATGGCCTTGACCCTTACGCACAGCGATTGTTTCAGATTCTCTGAATCTTTTGATGATGTTATGCACGGTTGATGATGATAACTTAAAAGTCTTTGCTATTTTACGCTGGGTAACACCATTCTGGTATTGCTGCACTATCTTTCTGTGCAACAACGGTGGAATTGGTGATCCTCTTACCATCTTGGATTCTGAGAGACACGGACACTCTGAGAAGCTCTTTTTATACCCAATCATGTTGTCAATTGACCTAATTAGTGTTAAATGGCCTTCCAGCTGTTTGTTATATGCTCAATTTCCTTATTCCAGCCATTTATTGCTACTTGTCCCAACTTTTTTGGGATTTGTTGACACTGTGAAATTTTAAATCAACGTATTTTTACTTTAAAACGTTACATTTACTCAGATTAAACTTTTGATCTGTCATCTACGTTATTCAATTCAATTCAATTCAAAAATACTTTTTTTAATCCCAAAGGGAAATTATTTGTTGTTGTAGCTTGATATCCTCATTTCATTAAGATATGTTAAAGATACTGATGGCTGTAGGCAGGAAGGATCTCTTGTAAAGGTCCATCCCACAGTGGATCCTAAGAAACTGGCTGCAGATGCCGTTCGATCCGTCCACCCAGACTCGGCTGGCCTCTCGGTTCCCCTGGGCTGCAGGACCGCCCGAAAGCCGGGCAGAACTCCTCCCAGAGCGATGGCCACTCCTCCCAGAAATCTGCCGAGCTCCTCATCGCTGCAGACAGCCAACTGTAGGTGCCGAGGGACGATCCTGTTCTTCTGCTGTCATGAGCTGTGTTTCCTGCTAGTTCCAGGATCTTAGTGGTCAGGCACTCGAGCACAGCTGGCAGGTTGCTCAGAATGCATCCACAGAGCCTCCTTTTCAACTCATTTGAGATTTGGGGCTGTAGTTGAGATATTATTTGAGCTTTTGAGATGTTAATCAGCTGCTGTTGGTTGTAGAAAACTGCCTTGTTGCCATGGTTACGCATCATAACAAATGTCCAAAACTAAAAAAGTTTCAGTAAAAATCCTTCCAGCTGTACAGCATCTGATAACAGAGGAAACAATCATCCAAAAAATGTGATTTATATCCAGAAAAAAAGGAATTAAAGTTTCCAAAAGCAAAATCCCAGAATGAAAGTATCAGAGCTGCTCCAACATGCAGCCACCTGGAGAGGCGCAGTTCTAGAATATATTATTATACTACGAATATAATTATATTACGAATAAAATATTGACATTTGCCATCTCCACATCATTGCATTCAGTTTTTATTCACAATTTGTTTAGTGTCCCAACTTTTTTGGAATCTGGTTTGTAAATACGCTGGAAGCAACGTACGTTATTCCTTCACGTAGATAAAGCTACACAGAGCTCCAGCATGAAACAAATAATGAGGGAGAAGCTCTGATGCAGCTTCAGCTCAAATGTAACTGTTTTCTCTCATACTAAAACTTAGATAGACAACTTATACAACAAACGTAATGTAATTTGTCTTTTTAACAGGTTGAAGAGGACAGATGAGACATTGTCTGGAGCCAGTTCTAAATGATATAATTTAAGGTTTATAAATTACAGTTCAGAAAAGATTTTGTGCAGGTTTGCACAGTTTGAAAATTTGTTAAAGATTTACCAAATATGAATCAATATGGTTAAGACTGTGAAGTCTGTATATTTCATATTAGGTTAAGTTTTGAAAATATATCAAATGTTAGAGCAATATGGTTAAAAAAAAAAACTGTGAAGTTTGTATTTTATTTTCAGTTAAAAGTTTAATGCACTATGGTAGGATGAAGTCTGTTTACTTTTGTATTTATATATTTTGAATCATTTGTCTGTGATGGACTGGAGACCTGTCCAGGTGTCCCCCGCTTCTCGCACAGTGATGGCTGGAAATGGGCACCAGTGACCCCCGTGACTCGAAAAGGAAGACGTGGGTAAAGATAATGGATGGATGGATGAATTATTTGTTCCTAGATTTTTATTTTTTTTTATCCAGGCAGCTAAGCTAATCTAATACTGGTAATTTAAATTACATAATGTTATGCACACCTATATTTGTTCCTATTTTTGGTATAAATATAAAACGATGTAAAAAATTTGATACAGTACAGCACACCAAATGACTTTAAGAACGTGTCTGGGCTTCATTTTCTGCATGTAAACGCTCGTAGCCTTCTGAAAAAACTGGATGCTTTGAAAATTCTGATCAGTTCCTCTGGGGCAGATGTTATCGTTATTTCTGAAACCTGGATCAACAAATCTGTAATGAATAATGACCTGGCAATCAATGGATTTAACAACTACCGCTGTGATCGTTAAAAGGGGGGGGGGGGTCGCTGTTTACATCAAAGATTCTTTGGTTGCTAGTCTTGTGTCTTCTAAAACAATTCCAAACCAGTTTGAAGCCTTATCTGTAAACATCACCTTGAATGGAGGCCAGAGTTTAACTGTAGTCTGCTGC